ATGACATTTACCAGATCAAATACTCAATGTTTGGGAAAGTCCCTAGTAGCATCGTTTCCTCTCTATTAGTAGCCTATTCTCAACATTTTAATCCTGTTATTTTTCAAACATACTATCCTATGATCCTGAGCTCCTTTGCATCTGATAAGGACAATTTTATCTTTTCTGAACTTGTTCCCCCCTTGATTTCCTAAATGCTGACACTGAGCCCAGTCCAGCTTTTCTGGTGGCAATTTCCTCATATCTCCCCTAAATCTTTGTCTCCTTTTTAAACACTATCATACAAATTTCAGCGGTTTCCAGCCTCCTACCAAAGGAGCGATTGTACTCAACCTGAACTGCTGCCAAGCCTAGTGACGCCTCCCAACTCACTGATTTTAAGCAATTAAGACAGATGTAAATATCCACATCTGCCAATCAATTGATTTTTCTACATTCTAGTACATTTTGGAGATTGGATGAGTACAATGTTTCTCTCCCCACAGACTGCAGCTGTGGATTTGCAACTTTTGGATTTCTGTTCATTTGCCACTTGAAAATTTTGTTTGGCAAAAATAAAACTTTTCTGCTTGAGATGTATGTAATACATATATATGTATATATATGTATGTATGTGTATATATATATATATATATATATATATATATATATATATATCAGTCAGCATTTTCCATAAGGGCTGTAGAGGAAAAGAATATCAGAGGAAGGATTAGTGAACCAGTCAGGATGAATAAACAAAAATTTAAAACACATTTTTGATTCACTATTTTAATGTTCTTGTGCCTGCATGGATGGGTTTGGCAACAGACCTGAAAGTGTCCCAAAGCCTTGAAATGTGAGCATCAGAAAGACAGGCTTCTTTGTGCTTGATTTTACATGAGGATTCATACATATACCTATATGTGAATATTTCCCCATCAGTTATTTGGCAAATAATTGCAGATTATTTTGATAGCCTGTAGAAACATTTCTATAGATTTTTTTTTCCTTAGATCTGGTCATTTATATGCCTTTCAACACTGAAGACAATGTTCCATTAGATATGTTTTTGGTTGTTGTTCAGAACAACCAATAATCAAGTGGTTTAGAAACAAGATATAACCCTGACTCAAATTGCTAATATGATAAAAATTCACTCATCATACAAATATTTTCTTTATTCTTCCTATGTTTGTGATTCAAAATCACTATTTTCTACCTATGTTTGTGATTCAAAATCACTATTTTCTACCTAAGTAGATGATGTTTTAGGTGCCATGTTAGTTTGAAGCTAGCAAGGGTTAAAAATATTGTGATAGGAGTTCTCAACATTTTGTGTAGAAATGATGTGACCTTGGGAACAAGTTGTTAGCTAACTTGTTATTTTAATTATTCAAATATAAGAAAGTGAAGAAACATAGCTATGAAAGAGATTGTAAGTAGTAAAATACATTGAAAATTAGTAAATGGGTTTAATATGCTGCCAGAAACTTCTACAACAAATGTTGTGAGTAATACTAAGGAGCTGCTACTCTCTCTTCATTCTGGTCAACTATAATTCAGTATTGAAGAAATCTTTTCTATAGTGGAATATTAAACTTTTAGAAGATTAAGTAACCTATTCAGCAACACTCAGCACCATTTTATTCTGTATGAAATGAATGTAGGCCCTGGGACTGGTATCCAGGCATCGTCATTTGACTGTTTCGTTCATATCAGCAATCCTGCAGGAATGAGGCACCCAGGGCTACAGAACACCTGCAGTGAAAAGCAAACCAATTGAGTCAAGGAAAGTGATAAGATACTTCATCAGAAAATACACACAGGCACAAGCCTGATAGAGCAACTGGCAATAATCAGGTAAAACAACACATTTCCAAGAAATAGAAGAAGACAAGAGAGTAATGAACATCAAGAGGGGGAATGCAACCAGCCCTGATGGGTTCCTCAGAGAGGAAGCAATAACAGAGGGCACAGAAGCAGCTATTAACCTTGATGACTGTGGAGAGAAAGTAATGGGCTTGGAAGTTTGGGCACAGAGCTCAACTCTTGATCCACAGGAAGAATAAATTCTTTCCAACACAGAATTGCCCGTTTGATTTGTTTTCGTAGCTTGCAAATAAAACATCCCATATGTTTCAGATTGAGAGTGAAATGGAGGGGAAAATAAAACATCCCACTTTCAAAGTGAGATCCAAATGTTCTTAAACATCTACTTCAAGAAAGAGTATCCTATTATGGTCTCAGGAAATACTAGGATAGACAGGGAGTACAATTCATAAAGAATGTGTACAGGTGTCTGCACAATGTAATTATTTTTGAAGTGTCTCTAAACTATTCTATTTCTTGCTTGGAGAAATATAAGTTTAAATTCTTTGGATATTGAATGATTGCATATAATTCTAAATTAAAAATTTTGGTGAGGAAAGATTAATACTATTTTTTGAAAACCCAAATTTCAGCTAGTGTCAACAGGCATGCCTAGTTCATGCTTAGGACATGAACAGAATAGAAAAATGTAAAGAAATGTTGAAATAACACATATGTCTTTCCCAACAACTAATTTTTTTATTTGATTTTAAAACATGCAATACTGTTCAGCAAGACTTAATTACATTTTATTATGTATGTTTTTTAAACATTATATTTAAACTAATGATATTACCAGATAATATTCTTTATATTCTTTACCCAGATTTTCTAAGTACTAACCCACAATTCTTCTCATTTTTATGGACTATGTTCACATTTTTATTTTATTTTATTCTGTTGGTTTTTCAAGACAGGGTTTTTCTGTGTAGCTTTGCACCTTTCCTGGAACTCACTTGGTAGCCCAGGCTAGCCTCGAACTCACAGAGATCCACCTGGCTCTGCCTCCCAAGTGCTGGGATTAAAGGCGTGTGCCACCACCACCCAGCCATGTTCCATTTTTAAATAACTCACATTAAATTTTCTCTTGTGAGTGGTGTGCGAGAAAGCTTTAAGTGGTTTTTTGTTTTTGTTTTTTTTTCTAACTAGCAAATTTTCACAAAACAATTTAACGGGAGGGAGTCCATCCCATTCTTCACATTTTTCTAATGGTTCTGTAATGATCACATGTTAGTTTATCAATTCATAGCGTATTTTCAGAGTGCCACTGAGTACTGTGATTCAGTTGCTGATTTTGTGTCTTCATTCTGTATTCTATTCACTGTCATTTTTTTAGTGTTTTAAGTAGTTTGTTGAAGTCTTACTTTATTGTCCCTTTGAAATTTCTTCTTTACAGAGGTGTGTTAGAAATAATTTATAGGATTGGCAAGATGGCTCAGAAGGTATGGGTTCATACCGTAAAATCTGACAACTTGAGCTCAATACTTACTCTTCCTATAATAAATACTTAGGTTTTTACTGAACTATCTCCTCTCTGGATACAGGAAGGGAGTCCTAATTACACCTCTTCCATTTCACTTAACTCTCAGCATTCTCCAGAGTCTGTGTCTGAAATGATCACATCAAAGAATAGATATTTGCATCCATTTACTTCCATAGCTGTAATTTTTCAAATGATAAATAATGCTTATTAAACACTTACCAGGGGGTAGAAGTTATGCAGGGGATGCCTTCTAAATCACCACCCCCCTTTGATATAGCAATTCTGCCAGACATCATGGAGTTGGAATCAGTTGTTCAAGTTGGCATACTCAACATTCTTATACAGTTTCAACACCTTCAACCAACAACACCTGATGACCTAACAACCTCTTCTCCCTGTTTCTCCCCAGTGAAGAGGTCATATAAGCACATGAAAACTACCTGAAACTTTAGGATAGAGCCATGAAGACTATGTGAATTTGGCTCACTCAATTTCAGTGATTTCTCAAACAAATCTTGTTTTCAGTAATTCACTAGAAGAGTCCACAGAACACCCTGAGAGATAAAATATACACAGTTTCAGTTTATCACAGGGAGAGAATGCAGATCAAAATCAGCCAGAGAAACACGGTAGGAGAGTTTCAAACATGAATTTTCTATTCTCTCTTCTGAGGAGTCAGGCTATCTTATCCTTCCAGGCCTGACTCAAGAGACTATTCACAGACTATTTTCAATCTGGAAACTCACCCAGATTCTATATCCAAAGAATTCAATGGGGACTTCATAAATAGATATTATTGGCTAATTGTTTGTCCATGTGTTTGACCTCAATCTTAAGATCAATTGTTGCCTTATGATATAAACTCTCTAGTCTAAATAAATGTCATGTCTGCTCTCTTTGATGAGGTCAGGCCCCACCCTAACATGATCAGATATGGCTGACAACTCCCTGAAACCTATCTGACATGCCCACATTGTATACACAGACACTCCTATAGCAGATGTAACCTCCTCCTCGAAGCTGAGGCCAAAGCCAGACTTGGATCACTTGTGCAGCATTCAACATCTTGTTAAGGCAATCTGGACCATTATCATGGCCAGGATGCTTTGCCAAGTTACACAAACAAACCAAACTTGTGGACTCCAAGAAGTCCTGCAACAGACCAGAGACAGGCTCTCTCTTTCTCTGACACACACACACACACACCAGACCTGATCATCACATCAGCTGTTCCTGAGTGCTGTGCTTCATCACTAGGAGCTTGTTATAGGCTTGGCAGGTTTTTATAGTTCTAAGCTGAGAAAAAGCTCACATGACAGCTGAGTGAAACATCAGGACTGTAAACTGCTAATTGCCAATTCCATATGTTTGCAAGGCAAACAACAGCGAGGAATGTCAGTCGTGAGAAATCGCTGAGGCTTGTAGTTACATAGATAGTGGTACAAAAATGATATAAACTCAGATCTCTCGCTAGTTCTGTCCCCACTGTCAAGTCAAGAATTTTAAAGAGTAAGGACCTTGTACAGAAATTCTTACTCTTACAAGAACTCACTGTCTACCTTTATACACCCTTTAAACCTCGTTCATTCACTTTGGGGACAGGTAAGCAAGGCAACACCATACACTACAAAATTGGTTAATTTGTGCAGAGAACAAATATTTCGCTTACAAGTTCTGATTTTTACCAGCTGTGGGTTCCGAAGCATGCCACACAATCTTTATGCATGTTTTCCTGGATAATATTCCATCGCATAGAATCTTTTGTCATTGAACGTTGAATGACTGTTATCCAGGCTAATCATCAGTAAAGCACTGAGGGGAAATGAAAATCTGTGAGCTAAAATAGTTTTATTGTTAAGTACAACTAATCCAAATGATAACTATCTCTTGATTAAATGGGCCTGTTCATAAAGAGTCTCTGAGAATTAAACTGCAGAGTATCCTTACCATCACCTCCCAAACACACAGAAGGAAGAAACATGCTGGTTTGACTATTGCTAAGTAAAGGGACATCAACTTTGTAAAAAAAAAAAAAAAAAAGGTGCACACATACACACATATAAAAAA